TAGCTGTGACAACCAAAAATGTCTCCACACATTGCTGAAATTTCCCCTGGGGAGAAAATCTCCCCCAGTTGAGAACAATCGATATAGAGGCAAAAAAGGAAACTGCCAGAGCTTGGGCCTTGGGGTACAGCAGGAGGTGAGGGTGGGGTAGGGAAGAAGGTGGATCTAAAATCAAGGCAGAGAGTGAGTGGTTTAGAGATCTGCATTAAGAGAAAATAGAACTGGGGAAAGCAAGGGAAGAAGGGATTTTTCAACTTCTTGAAAACTGGCATTTCCCAAGAAAATATAAATGGATAGAATGATTTCCGCCATTCACTGAATGTTCAGGGGGAATTTGGTTTAAATGAAAGATTTACTTGGCTTCTTCTAGGGGCTCATGGGTGCCAGTCTTTAGATAAAAAACCTAGAGTGATTATGGTTTTTAAAACTCATTTTATGCATGAAAACCTGAGCCACTACCTTGGCTTTGGAAATTTCTTTTCTTTTCTTTTTTTTTTTTTTTGAGACAGAGTCTCACTCTGTTGCCCATGCTCGAGTGCTGTGGCGTCAGCCTAGCTCACAGCAACCTCAAACTCGAAGGCTCAAGCAATCCTACTGCCTCAGCCTCCCGAGTAGCTGGGACTACAGGCATGCGCCACCATGCCCGGCTAATTTTTTCTATATATTTTTAGTTGTCCGGCTCATTTCCTTCTATTTTTGGTAGAGACGGGGTCTCGCTCTTGCTCAGGCTGGTCTCGAACTCCTGACCTCGAGTGATCCTCCCGCCTTGGCCTCCCAGAGTGCTAGGGTTACAGGTGTGAGCCACCATGCCCGGCCTGGAAATTTCTTAAATGAGCCTTCACCTCTTTGGACACTCGAGACATAGAAAAATAAATCATCTAGGATCCTATGGCAAGTCCACACATTATATGGTATATCTCTTGCAGGTACAGACATGCAAACTAAAGCAAAACTTTGTTTTGTTTTTACCTCCAAGAATATGCTTATACAGAATTCTAAGACCCCATTTTGCCTAGAGCTCTTGGATGTTGGTCAATGTTGAAGGTGAAAAGGGGACTCTTGGATTCACAAAATATTTGGGAGTTGAAAGACCCTTACAGATCATCTGAGATCATGTGTCTAGCCTGGTGGGTGTTTTTAACTTCTTAAAACCTGGTGGATCAGGGCATTTCTAAGAGAGATAATATCATGTCCAAGGCAGTGAGTAGTGAAATACTCTTCACTATTCAGGAACCTTAAGTTACTTAACCATACTGAAGCAGCAACTGTGAAAAGATGATGGAGCAAAGTAAGGTAAGAGTCTCATTCTCTAGGCAAGACAAACAACACACAACAAGAATGAATATGAATACACACGCACACACACACACACAAAGCTGTGGCAATCTATTTTCTGCTTAACTCTGCCATTGTAGCTAGAAGGCACCCATGGACAACATGTAAATCAATGGGCATGGATGGCTTTCATCTGCTGCTGACCATTTTGGTTTACTGACTCCTGAAACTGCCTTCTGTTGTTTTTTTTTTTTAAACAACTGGGGACTCTGAGGCTGAGAACAGGGAAGCAAGTTGCCATTAATAGCAGAACTAGGACTAGAACCCATGTTTCCTGATTGCCACCTTATTCCTTTACCTTTGTGCTATCAAATAGAAATTTCTGATATGTCTGTGTGTGTGTGAGAAGGACAGAGAGAGAAAGAGAGAAGAGAATATGAGCTCTGCCTGAAGGTCTTTAGTTAAACAGTACCTTTGATCATAAATAAAATATTTCTTTCTCATAAAACAGAAGTACCCCCCCAAAACCATGTCATTTTGAGAGAATATGGTGTCTTTGCAGCTACTCAGTGGTTGCTTCTAATTGTATCTCCGGTGAATGACCTTGCCCTATAAAGATATCTGCAGATCTGTTGCATGAAGTATTTGAGGCCTAGTGTTATATGTCTTCCTGCAGGAAAACAGCTATATTTTTAGTGTAATTAGACATTGATGTGATCATTAGAGTTACTGAGAGAATGAGAACCACAGCAAGGATACCTGGAGTGAGTGTTCAGAGTTGAGAGGACTGTAATGTGTATGACTTGGTATTAACTTTTCCTATGAGAAAGAAAGAAAGAAAAAAAAAACACCACTGAGCACTTTTCATACCAGACATGCTACTGAGCACTTCATGTGTTATCTCATTTGATCCTTATAGAGATACGTCATGATTCATCATGATGAAGGTAAAAGTGAAGCACATAAAGTCCAGGATAGTAGCGGAGTTAATAAACCATACAGATCTTTGTTTCTTTCTACACTGTAGATAGGATCCAGAAAACATAAAGTATGTAACTTAGAAGGTGGCTGGTTTTGTTGATTGCATCTGTAGCGTCTTGCATTGGTTGCATACAAGAGTTGTCCTTTCCTACCCTAACTTGTCTAGGGAGTAAGTATTTACTAGGTGATTTATGGGTAAACTGTACCCATAAATGGTACAGTTTACTCATGGTGTTTATGGGTAAACTCTTTCTCCCTTTAAAGGACATGGAGAATTATGCCAGCCACAATAGTACTGATATCTTGTGGAAAATCATCCCCTTGGCAAACCAAAATGGGGATTTTTTTTTTTTTTGGACAGCTTTGTGGAATTTGTCTGACCTGTATGCCTATCTTCAGCCAACTCGAGAGTACTCCCTGAACCTTTATTGCTTTTTCCTGCCAGAGCACTGGCTCAGTGACTTCTAGTGCTAGGGGTGCTTTTGCTAGGATATTTAGGTTTCCTTTCTCAAAAAAGGCAGGCCATGGAGAAATCCACGTGGCTCTGGACTGCTTATTTTTCAGTTTTGTGAGCTCACATTGCAGTACTTTACCATCAAGGCAAGAACTGCATGCTATCTAAGTTTAATTGCCTTTAAGTATAACTGCTGTAAGCCTTAGTAATTATAGTTAACATTCTCTGCATTAACATTGCACTGCTCCCTTAGGGTTTTCAGAGCAATTCACAAATAAATGCATTCAACTTTAAATAGCTTATGAGGATTACAGAACCCAAAAGGTGAAGGATAGAGGATGTTTTCTGCTCTCCAATTATTGAAAGCTTAGCAAATAGGAAGGCAGAGGCATTTATGACCTTAAAGTTTTGGTTGCCCAAGTCAGTGTTGTTACAAATAGTCACAGATCCCAGGAAAGAAAGATTTAAGCTTACTGAGAGAAAGAGAATGATGATTTTTTGATTTGTTTTATTTCCTAGGAGAAGCTCTAATGGATAAAAACATCTAGGCTTCAGACTCACCTCAACTGGTTTACAAGGGTAGATTGAACTAGGCCTGGAATGAAAGGAAATGTCAAGAAAGTATAAAAAATGTTTGAAAAGTTTCTGTTTTCCAGGCATCTGGGCAAAGCATACCACAGGTCTGGTAGGAAAATACAAGATAGGTTTCCTCCCACTTAGAGAAAATTCAGCAATTCTAATTGAGGAGAGGGCGGTTATAAGACAAGGGTAATTTCCTCACCAGTACGTGCCAGTGCTGTCTGACTAGAAATTCTAGAGCACAGTGATTTGGACTCATTACCATGAAAGAGTTACCTGGTTTCTGCAATGGGGATCAGGTCGGTCCTGCAGCTTGACCCCAGCTAAGTGGGTATGGGCAATGCTGGTAGTGTGCGTCACTTCTTACATTGCAATTGTCTACCTAGGTGACTCCACAGCTTGGGAAATTGTTGAAAAGTCAGACTTGAATTCCTGAATTTCTTTTTGACCAAGTTATCAATAATAGTTTCAGATTTTAATTTTAACTGTGAAAGTATTCCTAACCTCAGCATCCATCAAAGGATAATGACAGATATGCCCCACTTAGAATTTTTGCTTTAGAAAGAGTCCATGGGTTGATTTAGTTAGCACTGAGGGTGCCCCACAAGCACTATGAGAAGCATACATAGTCTGCTTATTTGCTAACTGGGTGTGAAGGCTGAACTTTTACCTCTCTTCTTGGGTGTTGAGAGTATGTATATATTCTTTAAGGAGCTCTGAGATCCTCCTCATTCCTTCTCTATGGAGCCAGGATTTAGCTTGTAAGTTATAAGAATACAAAGAATTCACATTCTTATTTCCAGCCTACTTCTACCTTTGCTTTCGGATATGGCTTATAGGCTCGCAAAGAAGAAGAATCAAGTTTAACTCACTTTATCTTACTTTTGATTCATTAGTTTGAGTCTGTAGGGATCTTCGAAGCTCCCAGAATAAAAGTTGAGAGACTACAGCCTAGGGTCACCAACTCAGTCTCATGAGGTGGAAATCACAAATAACCTGTGGTATTTTAATGAGGAACTAGCTGAGCAGTGCTGGGCAATGTGCAGACTAAACACTTTTGAACCATTGCATGAAACCTTTACTACTGAGAAGCAAAAACTTCCCAGGAGAGCAGTGATGGATTATATTGGGGGATTACTAGGCCCACAGAATTCAGAAAGACAGCTCTGATCTCCTTGTACCTTCAGCAGTTGACCACCCTTTTTCTTCCACTTGGAGAGAAGAAAGCTATATAAAAGGGGCTTCCTTTCCATACCAAATTAAACCTTTCTCCCTGGAGAGCGCCCACCACCACCTTTTAAGCATTTCTCTACTGTAATAACCAAAATAAGATATAACTTTCCCCAGAATATTTCAGATTAGAATGAAGACAACCAGAGGTGAGCGCATGCATAAGCGAGCACCTGAAAACCTTGCCATCTAAGACAGATGGTACGGATGGGAGTAGACTTGGGGAAGACATAGGGATGGGGAAGGAGGAGAACATTTAAAAAAGCGTTCCCAGTTCCTAACCCTCTTCCCGTTTTCTGTATGAGAAATACAAGGCAGCTGCTACTCATTTTGAAGGACCTTCTCACCCTCTATTCCTTTTTGGAGCTGGACTCTAGGACAGCAAGTGATCTAAACACAAGGCTAGATTTGGGGGGCTGCATGACTGACCCTGTTGCTCTCTTTCCTTCCATCTTGCAAATCTCTCAACCTGGATTTCCAGCTGAAAAAGAAGCAAGTGTACGTCGATAAGGTGGAGAAGATGCAGCAGGCCCTCGTACAGCTCCAGGCGGCGTGTGAAAAACGTGAGCAGCTGGAACACCGTCTCCGGACACGACTGGAGAGGGAGCTGGAATCCCTCAGAATCCAGCAGGTATGGAGAATTTAAAGGAAGAAAGTGGGAAAAAAGGAAAGATAATGAGATCATTTCTGGTTACTTATTTTTCAGTTGGCATTTGACATGGGCAAAAAAAGCACACAGTTGCTCATCTTTACATGTTTTGCCCCATGTGATTGTACTCCAGAGAGCCTCCCAATTGTAAATCCAAAGTCTGTTTCTGTAGCTTCCTATCTCAGAAACATCCTTTAAACCTATGATCTTGCACCTTTTGTTTTCACATGAGCCCCAGAAACAGTAGACCCCATAAAAAGTAAAGCTGCTATACAAGTAGACTCCTCAATGTTTTAGAACTGGAAATTGTCTTTAGAAATCATCTGACCATACTGCTCCTCAGTTTTAGACGAAAGAAAATCAAACCCCCGTTGCATGAGTCACGAAAGATAAACACAACAAGTTAGGGGCAAGATAGAAACTAAATCCTAGATTTTTTTATTCCCACTTCTGTCACAGACCATGCTGGCAGACAAATGGCAATTTTGAACCCATTGCTCCACTTTCGGAGCAGCATGACAATTTGATATGGCAGGCTCCTTTCCTGAACAAGGGAATCTCACATTCAAGCCCAAGATAGGAAGTCCTGTGGCCTTAGGAAGAGATCTGAAATCCCCCTGCTTCTTTCCAAATCAGAATCCAAACGGAAGTGGTTGGGCAGTCATCCTTTCCAAGAATAGGGGCTCTTCCAGTGGCACTCGAACACCATGGTTCTTCTCTCACTAACTTGAGGGGTCTCGGCATCTACCCCAACAGCGCCAGGGCAGCTCTCAGCCCACCAACGTTTCGGAATACAATGCCGCTGCACTGATGGAACTCCTTCGGGAGAAGGAAGAGAGGATCCTGGCCCTGGAAGCTGATATGACGAAGTGGGAGCAGAAGTATCTGGAGGAGAATGTGATGAGGCATTTCGCTCTGGATGCTGCTGCAACCGTGGCTGCTCAGAGGTGAGTAGTTAGCTGGTAGGGCCACCACGTGGAGGGTGTAAATGGGAAGAACAGAAAGGTCACTGCTTCGTAGATTTTCCAGTGTTTTATTTTCTTTAATATTCTGGGTTTTTTTTCCCAATTGCTGCTTACGTGTGTTTTCTTTCATCTGGTTATGCAGGGACTGAATGGCTGTGGGGACAGAGGGGCAGGGATTTGAAAATGAAAGTTGCTTTATAAACTTATTAGAATCCTAGTTTAGCTTTCCTCAGGAGCCAGAATATTTACAGATGTCAGCTGAATGCCTGCACACCTTCTTCCCCAGAGCCACAGATCCTTTCAGCTCCATGTGCAGGTTGTTTAGCTGCAGGACTGGAGTGAAAGCCTCGCCAGAAAAGTGCCACTCAGAAACTAAATGTCACTCAGGAGTGGCTGCTGCCATTTGATAGCTCTGGCTCATCCAAGGTATGCCAGAGGCTGTGCTGAACATGAACCCATCTCTGCCCTTTGAGAAGGTTTATATTTGAAGGCCACATTCTCTGTGTGCATGAGCTCATCACATGTAAGCAGTCACATTCCATCTGGTAGGGGAGAGAAAGTGGCAGGAGGATTTTTATTTTTTGCTTCTTATTTGTTCTCCTTTGTATATTATAAAAATTAATGATTGGCCTTTGGAGGAAATAATACCTCTTAGCCCATTTGTCTGTCTTGCTGTTGTTCATAATCATCAGTTGGGAAAAAAAGAAGGGAAGAAAGAAAGAAAAAGGGAAAGAAACAACAACAAAAACTAAATTCAAATCAGGTGATGACTTGGGTTGTGGATGGATAACAGAGCCTTGGTGTGGAGTTGGGTATCAAAGGTGGGCTACAGCAGAGTGCACCCAGACAGGTCTCTATCCAGAACTTCATTAAAAAACCACAGTATTGTTTTTAACATTCTCCTAAACATGGTAAGCCAGCAGAGCCTGGAAGTGCTTGCCAGACTTTGGGCTAGGATATGTGTGTGGAGGGGGCGGTGGATACATTTATTTTTGAGTCCTTCTCCTACCAAATCAAAGTGGGGGTAGGAGGTTCAGTGCTTAAGAGCTGAACTGGTGCTTTATAAATAAACCCCAATTCTCCAGGAAGACATCTTATGTCTTTCTAATGTGATCTGCCTTTCTCCAGATATCTACTATACCTCAAATAGATAGAAGCTGCCTGTAGCTTGATTTTGAGGTCCTCATGGGCTTAAGCTTACCTGGCCTTATTTCCTGAGAAAGGCGTGCTCAGTACACACCCGTGTGCTAATAGAGTGCACAGAAACCCCAGCTGTGCTAGAAGATGGATAGTCTCAAGGTTTGTAGGCAGATTAGAAGCAGAATTAAGTGTAAATTTACCTGCAGGCTCCCAAGGAAACACCCGCACCCAGCACTTGTTCAGACCCCGGCACTGAAAAAAAAAATTTGTTATTATTGGGAAGTCAGGAGATGCAGGGTAATTTTGTTATCTTTGGGCAGAAGCTTAGAAAGATACAGCTCATGAGAGTGTACAGTGTGAGAAAATGTTAGAAAGCTCAGGTTCGTGGTGCTGACTTCAAAATAGACTCCAGGGCAAAATTCAGGAAAGCTGGGGATTTGTCACTGGAGGCCTCGTATAAAGAAACTACCCTCCTTCCTTCTTACCTCCCTTGAAAGCTTTGAGTAATAGGGGGACCTTCTTTCAGACAGATTTTCAGAATCTGTTGGCTACCATAAGGTAGATTTAATTTAAATCCAATTCCTTTAAATTACCAGGTAGAAAGTTTTCATCTAATTACTGTTTTCAGCAAAATGTGTGTGCTTATCATTTAATATGATAAAATGCAGCCAGTTCCCACCTAGTAGGAACACCTTCTGATAGTTCCACAGGTAAACATTCCAGGTCTGGACTGTGCGCCTTTTTTGCATGCTACTGATCCAACCCACAGGAGAGATTGAGAAATAGAGACTGTATTCAAATTTCTGTAAAATGAATGCGCACCACCCGAAGGATGGACATACTTGAAACACGGACTTAGCGGGGGGACCAAGGGCAACACACGTAAACTAAACATCTGTACCCCCATAATATGCTGAAATAAAAGAAAAAAATTTCTGTAAAATGAGAGAATTGGACTAGGTGATTCCTCCAGACCCTTCTATTACTAGGATTATACATTTCCAAAGATGTACCTCTTATGCTCTGCCACAGAGATTGATTTCCTTTTTCTCTTTTCTTTCTTCATGTGATTTTAAATTTGGGAGGTAACATTCAGAAAACTTTATTTCAGAACCTGCAGGTTGTTCTCCTTTCCTTTCCAACTTCTCTTCTCGTTCCTTTTTAGTACATTTGTTTTCCCCTTTCTCCTCCCAAACTTAAATGAAGATATTGACTAAGGTTCTGCCTTTTGCCCCTTTCTGTGGTAAAAAGCTTTATATTTTCTTGCTTTCAAAATAATTTTTAAGTGTCTAGGATATTGGCTGCAGATGGAAAGTGTTCAAATATATTTGAGTAAAGAAGGAAGGAAAGAAAGAAGGAAAAGGAAGGAAGGAGAAAGGAAGACATGAAAGCAGGAAGGAGATAATTTCTAAATGTATAACTTAAATCCCTAAATGTAGTGCCGCATTTGAATGGCCTCATTGGTTTCTGTGTATTCTTCTAAGGATCTCAAACTGAATATATTCCAAACTTGGTAGGCTCATAGGTGAATGACAGGTTTCACAATTAGGACATCTTGCTTGGGTAATAGTGGTAGTTGTAGACGACAGGTGTTTTTTTTTTGTTTGTTTGGTTGTTTTTTTTAGTTCAGATTATTAGTTACATATTTTTAAAATTGCCTATTGTAAGTGTATGGTTAGATGAACACTGGCCGCCACCACAATCAACATAGAGGACATGTTCTAAATTGTCCTTGTGCCTCTTGAACTTGATCCTTTTCTACCCTGCCTGACCCCAGACAATGACTGATCTGTTTTTGTCATAAAATTATAACTTTCTTTTCTAGAATGCCATATGAAAGGAATCATATTGTGTTTACTCTTTTCATTTGACTTCTTATGCTCAGCAAAATGATTTTGAGATCCATCCAAGTTGATGCATACATTCATAGTTCATTCCTTTTTCTTGCTGAGTAGTGTTCCATGGTACAGATATACAACCACTTACGTATCTGTTCATCTGATGATGGATATTTGGATTGTTTCCAGTTTTTGGCCATTGTGAATAATAAAATACAGATTTTAATATAATAATATGCAAGTGTTTTTTCTCAGGTGAGAAGACATAGTAGGTGATCTATTTATACCTCTTCCAGCACTTTAATTTTATAAAGCACTTCTTGTCAAAGGGAAAGCTGTCGATGCAATGATTTCAGACAAGATCAGGGTATGAAAAGCCGGATTTTTAGCCTTAATGGGTCCAGGAGTAGACATTTTAATGCACATGGAAAGTGCTGGCATTGCCCCTTATTCTAAGACGCACCTAGACATCAGAACAGCAACCCTGTGATATTGGTCAGTTGTATGCTTAGGTGAATTTTACTCAATGAAAAGTTAAGAGGACCCAGAAAGAGAGAGAGAAAATTGATGATTTTTGGCTGTACTTAAAATGACTATTTGATACTTAAAATATTTGTTCTTGTTCAAAGGGATAACAGGAAAATTTTTTTTTTTTTTTTGAGACAGAGTCTCACTGTGTTGCCCGGGCTAGAGTGCTGTGGCATCATCCTAGCTCACAGCAACCTCAAACTCCTGGGCTCAAGCGATCCTCCTGCCTCAGCCTCCCGAGTAGCTGGGACTACAGGCATGTGCCACCATGCCCGGCTAATTTTTTCTATATATTTTTAGTTGTCCAATTAATTTCTTTCTAATTTTAGTAGAGATGGAGTCTCGCTCTTGCTCAGGCTGGTTTCAAACTCCTGAGCTCAAACAATCCGCCCGCCTCGGCCTCCCAGAGAGCTAGAACTAGAGCTAGCTGTTTATTTATCAACACGCATAGTACTTGCTATACAAGGTGCTCTGCTAAACACTTTACACTTATTACTTATCCCTGCTAAAAATACTCTGAGGTTAGTACTATTATCCATTCTACAGAGGAGGAAACTGAGGCACAGAGGAATGAAATAATTTTCCCAAGATCACACATAGCTACTAAATAGCAGAACCAGGATTTAAATCTATATTTTTGTCACCTTAGCTGCTATACTCTGCTGCCTCCTAGATATGGTATAGCTCAAAGATGATGAAATAGGGATCATTAGCTATTCAATAAAATACTACTTTAGGTTTATTATTTAGCGACTTGGAAATATTATAAATAATCACAGTAATATGCTCTACATTAAGGCTCCATATTATTGTATCCCCAGAGTCCTCTCTAGATGCTTAATATAGATGAGGGGAAATTATTACTGAGTAGGCGTCCCTGTTGATCCCAGAAGACCCAATTTGGCAATGCAGATTTTTAGTTTCAGCTCACAAATGGTGAATTTATTTCTGAAGAACAGCAAAAGGATAACAAGATAACACACCCAATCAACCGTGTAATTTATCAGTTTGCATTTACTGAATCAAGTCGTTACCTTTCTCTTAACATGCAATGTTTCATGTTTATTTTGAGCACAGTAAACCTGGGAAAGAAGGAAGTAAAGAAAGGGGAAGCGGACGATAGAAGCTGTTCACACACATCACATATGTCTACCTATTTCTTCATCGTAGGCATTTCTTACCTTTATCCTCTGCTTTCTTCTCATTCTACCTTCTGTCTTATTACCTTGTTTTCTGCTATAGCTTCTCTGTAATAGTAGCAATGATAATAAATCTGTAATAGTAACTCCAACATCTCTAAGATTAAAGTTAGAATTTCCAACAACTTGTTGGATATTGTCATATGTCTATTCTTAAGAAACTTTCAATCCAGTGTACCTAAAATCAAAACCCATGCCAGCGCTTTCCAACAAACCTCTCCTGGGTTTCTTTTCATAGCAAATGGTATGCCATCTTTCTTAGGCATTTGAATTAGAAATGACAAAGTTCTCATTCATTCCTCACTCTCCCTAACACCCAGATTGAAAAAGTCTCCAAGTTTATCAATTCTACCTACTACAACCTGTTTCCATTTCCCTTGCTACTTTACCGGTTCACGCTTTCATGATCTCTTACTGGGATTATGACAGTCACCTTGCTGACTGGTCTGCTTGATTCCAATGTATATCTCCTCTAATCCCTCCATCACATTTACGCAAGAGATAATGCTGTCTTCCTAAAGCACAGCTCAGATTATTTCATTTCCCTCGAAAAACTCTACTAATTTTCAGTACCACCTATTGGAATAAAGTCCAAACTCACTCCTGTACTAGTTAATTAATTACTTTTTGGTCTTCCCTTGCAAGATTCCTGCACTCGGGGACTAGTCTTATCCATGTCTCTCCCCTCTCCAGCCTCCTAGGCACTTCAAACACTGTGCTCCACTTAGGTAGAATTCACATATTTAATAAACAAAAGAATGTGACCGATAGGAAAAGAGAGACTTGAAGTTTAAATGACCACTACATGTTTTAATTAGCATGTCATTGGTGACATTCTAGAGAGCAGTTTGAGCAATGTGATGGGGATAACTTTGTCAGAAAAAGGAAGGCAAGAGAAGATGACAAACTGTTTACTTAAGAATTTGAGATGGAGGATGTCAAATTCAGGGATCTGCACTTTGGGGTTTGCAGGTTTTGTTTTTAGCGCTTAGCCTGACATCTCTCTCCTGATGTTCCTAAGGAAAGTCTCTGAGTATTTAAAGGTAGCAGGTCAAGTTGCTCCTTTAAACACTGTGCTTGCTTGCTTTTCCCTAAGCCATTGGCCTAGTAGCCCTGGTCTTCTAGAAGGAAGATTGATGCTGAGAGCTGTCCTGGCAGCCCTGTAGGAATTCGCTAAGTGCCCCACATTTTCAGGCTCCATTCCTGAGGAGTTCACAGTGTCCATATCAATTAGCTGGCAGGGCTCTGAGTCCCCAAAATGGTCTTTTATGCAATGAAAGTGGCAGCAGGCCAGCACTAGTTCCCCCAGTGACAAACCGTACGCTCAAGTCCCCAGTGTCCGTCAACACCATGCACTTTTTGAGAGGCCTGGTTCTGAAGCCCTGGCCATCACATTGTAACTCTGCAGTGCTGGAATTGCCTCCAGGATTGTACCAAGAGCTAGAATTCTTTCAAGTCAGAATCTTTTAGATGTTATTGCCCTTCCACCTATGTGGTTCTCTCTTAATAATAGCTTTGCTGAGTGCTTTTACTGTGCCTGACACACTGTATGTTTTTACTTGCTTAATTTTTTTATCCCCTATGAGATGAAAGTACAGTTATTGTTCTCATTTGGCATATGAGGAGACAGGCTTAGAGCAGGTTACTGACTTTGTGAGGTTATAGAGCTTGTCTGTGGCTCTATGTACTTGGGGAGTACTTGGGGAGCTGAGACTTGACCCCCATGTCATCTGTAGTCAGAGCCTGTGCTTTCAAGCAGCGTGCAAGTGCTGCTCCCTCTTCAGTCCGCAGTTTGACTATAAGCAAGTGAATCCCACTAGAGAAATGACAAAATTCTGAGATGGCAAAAGATTTTAAATTTGGCAAAGGATGAGAGCCATTGTATTCCTTTCCGTCTTGTTCTCCAATTATTTCATCATACCCATAAATGGTTTCAACCTTGCATATAAGGTGTAGGTGTTTGGAGGAACAGTAGTTTTGCAGAGGCTCACCAAAATTCCCCAACCTTAACATCAACTCTCTACCTCTTCAATCTCCTGCCACTTCACTCCCATCTGCACTGGTCACAATCCCAAAGCTAAGAGAACATAGCTAGCTGCCAGCAGAAAATATTCCTGAAGTTCTCCCACAGACCCTTATTCTCTTAGGAAGTGCAATGAAGCTGCGCCAGTTCATTGTTTTCTTGGCCTATTGTCTGATTTCCTTTAAGGCCAATATAATTACATCAGTATTCTTCCTAATCCTAATATCCCCTCCTCTCTCTCTTTCTCTCACACACATGCACACACTTTTCCTTATGAATCGGTCTTTGAGTTAATGGCCTGAGATACTTTCAGATGGAACATGATGGTCCCTTATGCAGTTAGGACTCTGGCAAGAGAACAGTCACTTAGTTGGGGTAGACTCATCGATGTGGTGCTAGCATGTTTCAGATATACATTAGATAGGAACTGAGTGGCACTGACTCAAAGGCCCTGTTTCTCAGCTCACATGCTCTACCTGATCTTAGGTGTTGACATGTCTATTTGTTTCTAGCACTGAGGTGTAGTTACCAATATTCATCTAGTAGCAATAAACTACTTAATATATACCCTCTGACTTCCTTCAAAGTCTAGGTTTTCCCCCTTCATGACTGTCGTGAGAATAAAGTGGAAATATATACTTATTCCTATTGCTTGCCCATGGTCTAGAAACTTTGAGGAGACTATCTGCCAGAAGGTTTTGGGAGGATATCTGTCCAGTTCTGAAGGCAAGCCTGTGCACTTCCCGCACTGACTTCTGCAGCCAAGCCCATGTCAATAAACTCTTCTTCTTGGATGCTCTTACAAGTTACTCACCTAGAACCAATTGTTCTGAATGAGATTGATTTCAGCTTAGAACTTTCCAGAAAAGCTTCCATTGACTTAGAAAGGAGATAGCATTCATTGATTTTGCTGCCCTCCCATCATCATCACTGCCGTTTTCCTCCTCAGGGACACAACAGTCATCAGCCACTCTCCTAACACCAGCTATGACACAGCTCTAGAAGCTCGCATCCAGAAGGAGGAAGAAGAAATCCTGATGGCCAACAAGCGTTGCCTTGACATGGAGGGCAGGTAAAATGGCGATCTGGACCCTGATGGGTCTTAGTTGTTGGTATAGAAACCAGATAACTTAGAAGGGCAAGCATCTTTATTCACAACTGGGAAACCTGATCACACAGTCTTCCCCCACCACCATCACCCTTGCCAGCCTGCCAATTAGTGTACGAGATGCGATGACCTTTACTTCTATCATCCCCACTAGCTGTGGAATTCCAAGTAGGGTTGCTGTCCCCTTGGCCTTTTTAATTGCTTTCCATCCACCCTCTGAGCTGAATTGTTGGCATTTGCACTCTGGGATATTCTTTCTCATACTGCATCTCAACCCTGTGATACAGCAGATTGCTCAATAAAAGAACATCCACTCACACTGGGAGGTGAAACACCTGATGCCTCTTATAAATTCATTCATAGAAGATCTCATCTTTTCACTGAACGCATTGTTTCCATTGACTCAGATTCTTCACTATAGCACCCACTACATTGGTTCATTTTCTCATGTAGAGCCTTCCTTTTCACCAGTACTTTACTGTGATTTCCTAAGGTTTAAGCAACAGCTCCTGAATGCTCTGCTGTATCCATTTAGGTGTGCAGAAGGACTTTTTTTTTTCACTTTAATCTTATATTTGTAATTTAAGTTACTTTTTTCTGAATAGTTAAAAAAGCCAAAACACACTCTATTATCATGATCCTAGGCGACTTTTTTTTTTTAATTGTAACACACTATCCCTTGTCTTCCAACTCAGAACTAACTAGACCATCCCTTAGACAAAAAGATAATGGGAATTCAAGTCCATCTAATCAGTAAGACCAAAACACAGACGTAGCAACAAGGTCTTTGTATGTTCTTTGTCTTTGTCTCCAAGGATTAAGACCCTCCATGCCCAGATTATTGAGAAGGATGCCATGATCAAAGTACTCCAGCAGCGTTCCCGGAAGGAGCCAAGTAAGACAGAGCAGTTGTCGTCCATGCGGCCAGCAAAGTCTCTGATGTCCATTTCCAATGCCGGATCAGGCTTGCTCTCCCACTCGTCCACCCTGACTGGCACCCCCATCATGGAAGAGAAGCGAGACGACAAGAGCTGGAAGGGGAGCCTAGGTAATGACAGTAAATAAGGAGGATTATAGTCACATGTTCAAAGACAGCCCGGAGATAATTACCCTTGCAGTAAGGAAAAGGGGCAATAGTCCAGGTTCTAGAAAGGAAGATGGACCAGATTGGGTTTTTTCCCCTCCTCAGAGCCTACCTGCATATTCAGGAGCTCCACCACACTGTGAAGTCTAACGGTGAGAACACTGATTGAAGCCAAGGCCCGAGAGGATAAGAATTCTGAGTTCTATTTGGGTGGAAAGGAAGATAACTTCAGTTTCCTCTAAAAAAATTCTTAGATTTGGCCTTTGCCATGTGGGACCTTTTGTCTTTGTCCTAAGCCCATGTAGCCTTTGTGTCATTCAAACTTTCAAAATTCCAACATTTCTGTGTTCCTTCCTGCCCTACAATAGAAGGACCCAGAGTCCTAGTTAAGCTAAATGGAGCTGGGTGGTAGGCTTTGTTACCAGAATGTTCTGATATGAGAACAGAATGTACTTTTTCATTCCGTTCCTGTCCATTTCTTCCCCTCTAATCAAAACCCCAGACATATTGTGGAGACCACGAGGCACATTTTTAGAGCCTGAGGAAGCAAGCTATATATATTTTTATTTTATCTCTTTTTGTTGCTTTTAATTCCTTTCTTGGTCCTCTGACACTTGCAGTATCTTTTGGTTAGAGTAAGCATTTTGGGGACCTTGGTCATGGTCAGAACCTTTGGTCAGACAATTATTACCACACTCATCTGTGTCGATAAACCTCTTCCCCCAATCCTTTCCTGCTGTCTGAGAATGTGTGCTGTTGGTTTATAAGTGGGGCTGAGTAGAAGAATTCTGACAACTCAGTAGAACTCAGTCACCATTGGAAAACTAAATCAAAACAAGATATCCAGGACACTTAAAGGTTTAATACCTTGTGCTAAGAGCAAGATAATGAGGACCAGAAGGGATTTTCCCAGTCTGGAAAAAACTTTTTTAGCCATGGTGTGAGGTGGCTGACAAACTGCTTCCTGGGTTTGCTGGAGGCAAAAGTAAGGAATTTAGACCCATTCACATTTCTTTTGAACTCTTATAAAGGAAAACAAATAATCAGATTTGAATGACCTATTGTTTTCTAATTTCTTTCTCTCTTTCATTTGTAGGTATTCTCCTGGGTGGAGACTACCGTGCTGATTATGTCCCTTCTGCACCCTCGCCTGTGCCCCCCTCAACTCCCCTGCTCTCGGCTCACTCCAAGACAGGCAGCCGAGACTGCAGCACCCAAACAGAACGTGGAACGGAACCGAACAAAACTGCAGCTGTCACTCCCGTCTCTGTTCCTACTCCAATTGCTGCTGCCTCCACTGCTGCCGCCATCACTGCCACTGCTGCCACCAATACTGCCATCGCTGCCACCAACACCACAACCATGGTAGCTGCTGCTCCAGTTGCTGGTGCTGCTGCTGCTCCAGCTGCTGCTGTTGCTGCTGCCGCTGCTGCCCCGTCTCCAGCAACTGCTGCCGCTATTGCTGCTGCTGTTTCTCCAGCTGCTGTTGCTCCGATTCCAGCTGCTGCCTCTGCTGCTGCTGCTGCTGCTGCTCCTGCTGCTGCTGTTCCAGTTGCTCCAGCTGCTCCGGCTCCGGTTCCAGCTCCGGCTCAGGTTCCAGTTCCAGCTCCAGCAGCAGCTCAGGCTTCTGCTCCGGCTCAGACTCAGGCTCCAACTCCAGCTCCGGCTGCGGCTTCTACTCCAGCTCCACCTTCAACTCCAGCTTTGGCTCAGCCTGAGGCTCCTGCAAGTCCAGCTACCGGTTCTGGACCACGTCGTTTGTCTACACCAAGTTTGACTTGCAATCCAGACAAGACAGGTAATAATTTTCTGTAGCAGGTAGATTTTGGTTCTGCCTTCAAATGCAGATTTACTTCCTGGTGCCTGCTGTTTGGGCAGTGTTGTCATTTGGAATGAGTTTTTCATGTTGTAAAGGGGAGAGAAAAGAGAGTCAGTAAATGACTTCTCATCCACCAAGATGGGAACGGCATGAGTAGAGGCCATTCTCCCAGCAGAAGTAAATGGGGGGCGGGCAGGCAAGTCTCATTTTGCCATTGGCTTCATGAGGGCCCCGACACTGTCTAGCTCTAGAAATTTGAATTTTTTACCTTGTCTCTGAGTGTTTTCTAACCCCTTATTTCCATTTAGATGGCCCTATTTTCCACTCCAATACTCTGGAAAGAAAAGCGCCCATTCAGATCCTGGGACAAGAGCCTGATGCAGAGATGGTGGAATATCTCATCTAAATGGCCAAATCAAGAGCTGCAGTTTATCAGCAAGAATGCTTTTAATCATTTTCCCCTTTCGTTTGTTCTTATGTGGAGGGTGAGGACAAGGGTTGGGGGGAGGGGTGTTTTCTAAAGGGACTTTTTATTGGAACAGTAGACTACTTAAGTAATACCATATGAACTCCAGTCTATTCTGGTATACTTAGGGAGTACATCTAAAGACAGATTAATCGGAATGTGCTCTAAAGTATATTGCTTGGGTTTACCCAAATACTGGGGCTGTTAACAGGTGGTTATACATGGATATGTTCAATGTGCTTAAATTTGTTTAAAAGTTCCGTATTCCAGATCATTTTTCATTGAAGAGCACAGTATGTGTGGAAGACAGTGTGTAACATGTAGTTTGGAAGTGGGAAGCCGGAGAGAATTTGAGTGTATGCTGTTTTGTATAGTTATTATCTCGACAGCAGCCGGAGAAAGTTCTCGCCTCAGGCTCACAAAAGGGAATAGTTTAGGAGCTATGTAAGCTGGAGCAAAGGTAGGGAGTTTTGGGGTGCACAAGGGTTGCTGGAGCTAATTTTTCCTCCCAGTTTCCCAGCTACCCTGCCCCAAGGGATTGTGTTTATCTTCATTTCAGTGGTGCTTTGGAAGTGGATTCTTTTGGTTCCCTCCTGGAGGTTCATACATTCATATATATGCTCTGGAGTAATTTATGCATTGGGATAATTAATATATTGCTTTCAGATGCTAGGAGAGTAAATAGTAACTGAGTGATGCCCAACTTCCTCTCTCTGAGGGAGTTAGACCATCAGAGGCCTTGATGGAGAGTCGCATGAGGTGCTGCATGCAGACATTTTTAGCCTGCATGTAGCCGTGAACACAGCTCGCTTGTCTTTTCTAAGACCACTTGGCTTAGTGTTTATTTCTTCTATAGCACAGATTCACTGGCTGGGTTACCAGTCTCAAGTTGCCAATCATTTGCAAACTGAGGAAGCATCTTTGTTGACAGGTTGAACACTTTGAATTTCTAGTGACTATTTAGAAATAATTCATTTGGTTTTCCCAAATTCTTAGCATATGTCTTAACGGGCATTTTTGACCATCACCTCCAAGGGAATAGCATCAGAAGCCCAAAGTACTATGCTGCAGTTGGGGTTGGGGGAGACGCTGATTGCAGCAGTATCCTCAACTAACTCTTCTCACTGCCCATGACTCCGTCTTGGAATACCTTTGGGAAGCAGCAGGAAACGTGCATGTGGGCAGGGACCAAAGGAGGCAATGATTTCAAGCCTTGCCATTGGGCTTCCTCCATGGACACAGAGGGATGCCAGTTGCCACAGGTCCCTGCCCTGTGTCACCTCTCTGCCCTTCACTAAGGTAACAGATCCACAGATAGCATCATCAAGATCAGTTTTCAGGGGTATAGGGAGGGTGAGGGGAGTGGGGGGGTTAGGTAAGGGTTGGGGGTAGAGGTTTGGGGATGTGTTAGTTAGAAACCAGATTAATAGAAGAATAGGCCTGATATATTATATCATGAGCCATAGTGGCAGGAAGGAACTTTAGCAGTGTAGCCCTACCCCCTCATTTTAGTGGTGAAGTATCTGAGACTTGGAGAGGTTCAGTGACTTTTCCAAGGTCACACAGCATAGCTGTCTACTCTGCCAATTACCATGCTTATTTTGGGAAACCCTTATTTTAAAAAAAGCCCATTTTATGAAAAGGCACCTTCACAATCGAGGGCACGTGTATTTTGTAAAATGTCCCTGGCTTGAATAGTCTGTCCAGGATTCAGAACCCCTATCTTGCCTCTCCTGTAGTGCCTTGTGCAAGGTTCTCCCTTTCCTTATCCACATTTCAACATTTAGTCACATTAAATGTCCCCCTAAGAAATCAAACTCCACTTCTTTTCTCACGATGAGATCATGTGTCTCAGATCATCTTACAAGGTTCCTCTGTGAGTACAGGAATGGTGTCTTTCCTAATTATATTCCAAAGGAATTATTTTGCAGGTTGGGGGGAGACAAGACAGAGGGTGATGTGATTTTCAGCCAGTCTTTTCACAATTTCAATAATAAAGTGACCATCCCACTTACACATTAGTCCTCACTTATAAAGTGAATCCCAAATAGAAATTAAAAAGTATAGTTGTGTTATAATTCATTCATACCACTCTTTAGTCATAAGAAATTTTAAAAAAACTCAAGTAGTAGAAGCAGCAAGTGGAAAATTTCAAAAGAGCTCCTTTCTATCCAAATAAATAAGTAAAAATAAAAATAAACTTTTCATCTGCTCCTTTCATGGTTATAACTCATTGCCAGAATGTTTGCAGGCTCTGAGAGCCATGATTTTAATCACATTCTGTAAGGTGAAAAATGTCATACATTCCACATTGTGTGGCAGCCATCTCTTTAGACTCATGTGTTTTAGGAAAAGGAGGAAGTTCTTGGCTAAGTACTGCTTTGAACTTTCTAGAACACCTCTGTCTTCTCACACCAGAGGCAGTCCGTCTCTGCTCAGTTTTCAATCCCAGGTAATTTGCTAAAATAACATTGCACGTCTAAGAGAGGGAAGAAGACCATGTCGGTGTATTATGCTTGGGGAGGAGATACAGTCTTTTCAGAAAATCTCTACTAGTTGTCATTTTAAAAATTCAGGTTTATGGGAGAAATCTCAAGTTAGCCACCTTTTCTCACTTGTGTGGATGTAACATTTGGGGGATCTTTCTGAACTCCCACCTATCTATGCATTTTACTGGTACCTCAGGACAGGAAGGTGACCTTGTTGTCTCAACTTGTACTGCCTGGTGGTCTCTGAGGACCTTCTAATTCAGCTGCACCCCAATGTCCCATGTACAGGAAAGCTTCATTAGAACAAACTTTTACTTGATATAAAACTCCTATTAACAGGTTTTTTTTGAAATAAAGGTAGTTGAGCTTTCTTTTAAAATTATGTATCTTGATTGTTGATTTAATGAAGGATTTACTTTCAGTGCTGCTTTTGAGCTTCAGGGTGACAGGACAGCAGGAACCTGAAATATCTGCCATCATCTGCCATAGGAAACGTACCAGGAGACCCGTCATGTTCTCTTTTTGTTGTTACACTGTTGGGTGGGTATAACAATTGGAAAATAAACAAACTGATTGTGCAAACTACTTTGTCGGAAAAGCCTAAACACTCATAATGCGGCAGCTTAAAGTGTATACGTGTGCACTAACTTTGATAAATTATATTCTCATGTCTGTTAGCCATACAGTCTTCTGTTATCTCAATTACTCATTCACATATGGAATATGTTACTTAAGATGTGTGCATTCTTACTGAAAATATTTTCAAAGGAAGGTATCAGCTGTGGGCTAATTGCCACCAATTTCAGCCTGCCACAATCCTTGGAAATATATCTTCCAAGTGCCATCCATCATCAGTAGGACAAGTGTCGGGAGTTTGTTTATTTTTTTCTGGTAGCAACGATGGGTTACGTGGAGCCATCCAACCTCCTTCTGGCCTCCCTTGTGATTAATGGCATGTGTTTATAAAATGGATAGCTGAGGTTGGCAGATGGCTAGAGAAGAATCGCCTTTGGTTTAAAATGTATGTGGTCCCGTAATGATTGTGACCCCATTCTGTAATCAACTGAGTTAGTTCCAATAAAGTTAAGCAGGTTTAAATCCACTTTGTGCCTATCTTTTCACTGACAATAAAGTTAGCTATTTTAAAATGCAGTACCGTGTGGAAAATGCTTTGGTGTTTACCCGACAGGCTTTATTTGTGCTGTATCAGTAATTACTTTCAATTCAGTGTGCAGTGAAATTGCCTTTCAAGTGCAGCAGGAACAGAATTTGCATTTGCTTGAAGTATGGAATGTGATTATAGATTATAAAGTATTAAGACAACACCACAGGCCACATGCTCTAATCGGTCTCTTTATATACTCAGGCAGCATATATTAAAAGCTTTGCATCTTTTTATCTCCTGGTTCCAAGGGATAAAATGATGGCCACCCAAAGCAAAGAATTCATCCTTTGGTTAGCATTTTGGAAGGCCCCTTGATATTCCTTTTGTACCCTTGTTCTTATGCCAATTCATCAGTTTTGGTTGAGGGAGCTTGTTATTAAAAACAAATCAAAACCACAAAGAAGTTGGCTCTTCGCTGAAAATGTTAAGGCTGCCTTTACACTGCCCTTTTGGTGCCTCCTGTTTACCAGTGAGTTCCAAACCTAACTGATGAGGAAAGGATCCCCACGGACTTTGAAATGATACGTTTCACAATGAAATAGACTTGATGGGTGTTGTAAAAGGGAGGGGGAGGGCTATAGAATTCATTCAACTATAAATTTTGATTTTTTTTTAAGTTGGGCTTTATTCCCTCCATGTTTATGATGAATGCTTTGAAAACTGTATGGATGTGAGCCCTCCCCTCTTTTTCAGAAAAAGAAGATGGTATTAAGTTAACCACACTTTACAAGGCTTTGCACAGCATTCTTTTCAGAAATATATCTATGCCCAGCTCTTAATGAACAGTCACTTGTGGGAAGAAAAAGCAAGTGTTCCTTCAAAAGTGTGTGAGATCACATTGTAGTAGCACTTCTAGGTGTTATCATTATTCAACATTATAACTGATCTGGTATCTGTGTGGTACTTCATTTTCCTTCCGGTGGATCTTTCCTACTGAGGTAATCAATCTGTACACCCTATATGAGTTAACTCAGTTGCAGAAAAAACACCTCTGCTTCCCACCTCATCCACCTCCATTTTATCCTGCAGGAAGGTTTTTACTGGAGGAAAGAATGTAAATGTTTTGGTCTTGGAACACTTTCCATATAGACTGGCAAATCACCCTGGTATTTGAGAGAAGAACCCTGGATGATAGGACTTAGTTTCCAAGAAGAAAAATGTTCTCCATAACACCAGAATTTCATACCCCATCATAAGAACTACCTCCTTAGATGCACAAACTGACCAAGCCCAGCGTATTTATTTTGGTCCTCTTGTTTTTTCATTTGCCAGTTGTCTGTACCAATGGATTTAGGCATGTGTGAGTTATTGAGTCACTGCTGTTCAGATGTTGCCATTATGTGGAAGGCCCTAGAATACAAAATTTAAAAAAAATACAGTCCATGATTCTAATTTATTAGGGAAAACTACACACACACACACACACACACACTTACAATTCACTGTGATATGTGAAATGGCATAAATTTGAACAAGATACAGAACTAGTGCGAAAAAGGGAGTGATTGTTGGGATGGCACAGGGGGTGGGGAGTGGGGAGGAACTAAGTTGAGCTTTGAAGGATGTGTAGGTGTTAACCTGGCAAACTGAGGGATGGGGATGAAATTCCATGCAGAAGGAATAGGATGTGCAAAGACAATCTCACTTTTCAGATCCACAATCAAATGAAGACTCTGTTTCCAAGATTAAAGGCCCTAGAGAACTGCTCTGAATTTTAACAACCTCCTAATGGAAACTTACAAACTTAATCAGGTAGTAGAATGTACTAGTCTAGAAGTCAAGAGAGCATGAAGTTCTAATACTATGTCTGACACTAAATGTATGTTTGCCTGTGGATCAGTTCCTTAACAGGATCAGAGAGGTTTATCAGGAAAATGGGATAAATACCTGTCTTTGTGGACCTCATGGAGAGAGAGTAGGAAAGCCTCACGAAGTGAGAATATAAAAAGACGCCAGTAAAAGCAAAGGGTGAATCTATAAAGATGACGTGGTTTCTTTAACTTTTTATTAAGGAAAAATTCAAACATATGCAAAAATAAAATAGCTAGAGCACTTCCATTTACCCATTACTTGGCTTCAAAAATTATCGATGCATGGCCAATCTTGCTTCACTTATCACCCCCACCCACCCATCCTGTATTATTTTGAAGCATATCCCAGACATCATAGCATTTCATCCATAAATATTTCAGTATGCATAAACATAAAATTTTTAATAATGAAAAATAAAGTGCTATGGCTAGAACCAAAATATATAACCCACCAAACAAACAATAAACAAAACCATGACAGTATGTTTCTGCTTTTCCACTTACAAAGCTTCATTTGATACCCAAACTCCTGCCTTAAGCAGAAACCTGTGGTCTCAAAAACAGAGGGGTTCCTTCTCCCACAACCCACATACCAAAGGGCATCTTTAAAGATTGTCCAGTTTAGGTTCCAAGCCATTATTCCTCCTCCACTCATGTAAAAAGCTCTGGCTCCTTTAATGTCCCTGTCATCCATCTGTTCCTTGTTTACCGTTATCTACTGATTTGGTCACTATCACAAACGCACTGATAATTTTGGCCCCTGGATCACAGTCGTCTCTCCAGCCCCAAATGACCCAACCAGCATCCTGGCCCATCAGCTCTTTGGCCTCTCCAGCTACACTGACTTCCACATGCACTCCACTCCAGCCCACTGGGTCCACAGCCAACTCAGATCTGATTATTACTCAGCACTGCTCCACCGTGGATGTCATGCCCACCAGTACCCAAGACTCTGGCCACAGTCTACCATCCTCCCAGTTTGCGCACTCTGACATTACCTGCCAAACAATCTACACTGTGACCAAACTAATCAATTATGCCACTCTCCTGATTAAAACCCTTCAGTAGCTCTTCATGGTCAACAGATGCCTCCATCAATCCCTCTATGCCTCCATTTTCTGCCAGGCTTTTAGCCCTGATCTACCTTATCTGGGTTTCAAGCTCAATCACTTGAACCTGCAATTCATTGACACCTCCTAAAACCTCAACCATTCATCACAAGTCAGAAACTCGTGAGTCATCCTTGACACCTCCCTTAGAGCTAATATCAAATCCATTATTGATCCTATCAAAATAAATCTCAAAACTCATTTGATTCTTTCCAACTCTACTGCCAACAACCTATTCTAAGCCACTATTACTCTTCACTTGGACTATTTTAATAGCCTATTAACTGATCTGTCATGCCCACTCTTGTTCTACTCTTTTTATTTCCATCTTTATTCATCAGTAAATATAATTTATATCATATCATTCCCCTGAATAAAATCTTTCAAAAGCTTCTGATTGCAATGTGAATAAGATGGTATCAGAAGAGGTAAAATATTAATAGCTAATCCAAAGTTTTATGGTTGATAAATTTAGAACTAGGATGCAGATATCTTGGACTCTTATTTCATCATAATCATTATCATGCTTTGTTTTGAGTATCTTCTTTTCTTTATGCTCAAAGGACATTAATGATATGGCATCATTATTTTCTCTGATATTCACCTGGAGCAGTGTTTCTTGATGTCTTCTCCAAACCATCTGTCTTGGAATCACCTCTCTGACACACTCCCTGGACTTTCCCTCAAAGATGTTTATCCTGTAGTTCTAGAGTAAGATCCAGAAATTTGTATTCTAACAAGCTACCCAGGAGACTTTTTTAAAAAATTATGATTGACACATAATAATTGTACATGTTTAGGGGTACAATGTGATGTTCTGACACATGCAAAATTGTGTAATGATCAAATCAGGGAAATCAGCATATCTAATATCTTAAACATTTATCATTTCTTTGTGATGAGAAGATTCAGAAACCTCTTTTCTAGCTATTTTTGTTTGTTTGTCTTTTGAGACAGGATCTCTCTCTATCACCCAGGCTAGAGTGCAGTGGTGTCATCATAGCTCACTGCAACCTCAAACTCTTGGGCTCAAGCAATCCTCTTGCCTCAGCGTCCTGAGTAGTTGGCACTACAGGCATGCACCACTTCTCCTGGCTAATTTTTCTATTTTTTGTGTAGAAAGGGTTTCACTCTTGTTCAGGCTGGTCTCCAACTCCTGGCTTCAAGTGATCATCCCACCTCAGCCTCCCATAGTGCTAGGATTAAAGGCATGAGCCACTGTGCCCAGCCTCTTCTAGCTATTTTGAAATATACATAATTGTTAACTCTAGTCATTCTACTATGCAATAAACCACCAGAACTTATTCCCCCTATGTAACTATAGCTTTATATCCATTTACCGATCTTTTTTTTTTAAAAAAACCCCACCCTTGCCATGATCTGGCAACCACTATTCTACTCTCTGCTTCTTCGAGAAAAACATTTTAGATCCCATATATGAGTGAGATCATGCCATATTTCCCTTTCTGTGCCTGGCTTGTTTCACTTAATATGATGTCCTCCAGGTTCATCCATGTTGCCTCAAATGACAGGATTTCATTTTTTATGGCTGAATAGTATTCCATTGTGCATATATACCACATTTTCTTTATCCATTTATCCACTGATGGGCATTTGGGTTGATTCTATATCTTGGCTATTGTGGATAGTGCTGCAATAATCACAGGAGTGCAGATACCTCATTGACATACTGATTTCATTTCCTTTGTATATATACCCAGTAGTAGTATTTCTGAATCTTTATAGCTCCTTGGGGACTGCATACTTTGGGAAACATTGGCCAAGGATTTCCTGACATTTATTTAACTTTCCTTCCTCTCTTCAGTTCTTCTGCTACATAATAGATGCCCAACTGCACGTGGTCAAATGGGTAAGTCCAGTCTGAGTATTAGCTGTCACATACCCCCTTACTTCAGTGGGTGGCCGTTATTTTTTCTTCATTCACCCTTAGTACCTATGGTGAAATGGCAGCCTATTCTTCTCCCCAGCTATAACTCTAAGTGGTTGGATATACTGCTCTGATAAAACATGGTATGTTGTTGGTTACTTTTGTTGTTGATTCACATG